ATTGTTAGTTTTCAATATTCATTTATTCATCAAATATTTATTGGTGATAAACCCAGACACATCTCTGCCCTCTTGGAACTTAGTACAGTGGGAGACTGACATTGAATAAATAACCACACAAAGTAAATAGTTTCAAACTATGATAAGAGCTTTGAAAGTGTAAGTAGCGGTCAGAGCATTCAGCAGGAGATCTGACTCAGTCCAGGGTGGGGTAGTCAGGCCAGGCTTCCTAGAAGAAGTCATTCTTGAGCTGACGGTTGAAGAATTAGTTGGCTAGCTGGGTAGAGGAAGGTGGGTGGGGGTAAATGGAGAACATCTAGACATACAGAACAGGGTGTACAAAGGCACTTTAGCAGGAAGTATGTTTCAAGAACAGAAAGATACTGGTGTGGCTGAAGCAGAGTCTGGTAAGGCATGGTATGGCATTTGACAAATCTAGTACAGCAATAGGGACAAAAGAGTGCCATTGGAAGATTTCAGAATTTTCAACAGGAAGTGACAAGATCTAAGTTTGTTTGTTTGTTTGTTTGTTTTTTAAAGAAAAGTCATGTCCTGGCTAGTGTGACTCAGTGGATTGAGCGCTGGCCTGCAAACCAAAGGGTCACCAGTTTGATTTCTGGTGGGAGGTGAACAAGAGGCAACCATGCATTGATGTTTCTTACCCTCCCTTCCCTCTGTCTAAAAATAAATAAATAAATATTTTTTTTAAAAAAAAAAGAGAAAAAAAAGAAGAAAAGGGACTTCCAGAGACTAGATTTTAGAAAGACAAGAAGGGAAACAGAGGGGTTGCTTTGGAGGCAGTTACAATGTCCAGGCAAGAGGTGATGGCAGTGAGCTTGAAGAGAAGTTAAATAATCTATGGCCACAACACCCTGAACGCACCTGATCTCATCTAAGAGAAGTTAAATATACTTAAGTAATGAGGAACATGGAATTTCAGAGCTGGAAAGCACCTTTAAAAAACACCATTAACCAAAAAGTAGGAAAAAATGAATAAAAGAGTTCACTAAAATCAGCATTTTACAGGAAAAAAAAGGGTTACAGGGTTACTTAGTTTAGTATAAGGGGCCCTTTGTTTATTGAATTCAAGAAGGAAAGTTCTGCAGAGAAAGGTTTAAGAGGAAAGGACAAAAATGGGAAATGCAAGATAGTTGAGGGGGGAAAGGAGAGAGAAAAATAAAATAAGAGACAATAAGAAATGTGTTCGAGTTTGGAGGTGTGACAAGGTGGGAGGAGAGGAAGATTGGGAAGAAACTGGGCAGGAAGATGAAGAGAGACTAACTGGTGATGCTGGTCTAAGGGGACTAGAGATAGGACGGGAATAAAGGCAAACTAAAAGAGGGAAGTGGAACAGGAAGTGGAAAGGCAGGAAAGGGGAGATGATAAATGATGAGGGAGGAATGAGCAAATGGGGGGATGCTGGGAAGAGACATCCAGGGGAACGATGGGGCAATAGTTTGGAGAGAGTGAAAAACAAAACAAAACAAAACAAAACAAAACCGGGGGATGAGGCGGGAGTCTGAGAGCTGAATCAAAAGTCACTTTAGAGCCAGATGTTAGGGAGGGCACAGGATGGGAGAGCGAACCCAGATAGAAATAGACAGGTCCAAGCTCAGAATGAGAGAGAAATGTGTGCATAGCCCGGGGCGGGAAGGCTGGGGGGAGGAGGGGAGGTAAGAGGGAAGGGTGAACAAGTTTCGAAAGACTCCAAGGGAGGGAGTGAGGGGTGTGGCCAAGGCTGTATAGGAAGCCTTACCCTGCTCCCCATCCTCTGCTGGCTTCTGGTCTCAGTGGTTTCTTCCTTCTGTTATGTTACAAGGACCCTTGACTTGGGAGGGGATAGTGACCTGGGAGGTGGAGTGCTAAGGGCCCAGGCATTAAGTCATGTCAGGGATTTGAATGGAGGGGGGCAAGAAGGTGGGAAGTCTTGCCTGAAAGCTGGGTGTCTGTTGGAAGGCAGGGTAGAAGGGCGACGGACAGGGGACCGGGAGGATGTGCCAGGGTGGTGGCCCCGGGCAGCAACTCCCACTTGGCTGCCTAAGTAAGATTCTGAGGAATTGGAGCCCGGGCCCCTGAAGGTGGGGTAGGCTAGGCTAGGAGACAAGAAAAAGTAGAGAAGAAGGTGGGGGTGGGGGTAAAGTAGGGCAAGACGAAGAGCACCTAGGGTTGAAGCTAGAGTCCCTGCGGGAGGTGGGGGGAGACGGGTGGAGCGAAGGCTGGCCAGGGGCGTCCCCGTTCTCTGGTTCCCCAGGGTCCCTGGTACACCTGCTGGGGAGAAGGGAAGGGGTATCCTGGTGCCCAAGTGAAGCCCGGTCCAGAGGGGATGACTTCCGAGAAAACTCCGCCTTCTCCCCACCTGCAGTCACAGACCAGCTAGTGAAGGGGCGTGACCCTGGTGCTCGGGTTTCTTCCTCTACACCTGGGGCCAGGACTTCCGGCCCAGGTGAGTGTCCCTTCGGTGACGTCAGGTCACCCTTGGCTGCCCCTCCTGTTCCGCTCCCCCTCTAGTTCCCAGTGCCGGCGGGGGCGCGCCACCCACGCCCTACATATACTCAGGTGCGCCGCACCTGTCCGACCGCATCTGCCCGCTCGCCGCTGCTTGCTTGCACCTTAACCTCGGGCGGACAGCCGAGGGTACTTTGGGGACTTCCAGCACCCAGGACTGCCCACAAGGCCCCTCCACCTTCTGTTTGGGTAGCGTCTGGGAGAGTGCCGGAGGGAACGGCCTGGCCTTCGAGAGTCGCCTTTGTAAGCTACCAGTCCTCCGGGCGTAGTCTGCTCTCTCTGCTGTGAGACCCTCGCCGACCGGCGGGGCGATTTGTCTTTTCTTCGGGTGATAAGAAATTTGCAGTCACTCGACAGAAAACTTTTTTTTTGTTCTTTAGGCGACTTACAACTCTACCCCAAATTGACTTGTGGGGTTGCCCCTCAGTTTGTTTGCTTTACTGCTGAGGCGCCAGCCCGGCGCCCCCAGTCCCTTCTGAGGCGGAATGGCCAATTCGGGCTTGCAGCTGCTGGGCTTCTCCATGGCCCTGCTGGGCTGGGTGGGCCTGGTGGCGTGCACCGCCATTCCGCAGTGGCAGATGAGTTCGTACGCGGGCGACAACATCATCACAGCCCAGGCCATGTACAAGGGGCTGTGGATGGACTGCGTCACGCAGAGCACGGGAGTGATGAACTGCAAAATGTACGACTCGGTGCTCGCCCTGCCGGGTAAGGCCGCGAGACCGACGGGGCGGACGCGCCTAGAGGGCCGAGGTCACGGGGCGGTTGCGGGGCAGGGCTGGGGCCCTGCGGCCTGACGCCCGGGGTTGCTCTGGAGGCGGAGGGGAGAGGAGGGAGCGGAAGCAGTCAGGACGGGGCAGTGGGGACGCCGGGGTTTCGGGGGGCTACACGTGGACCCGCACCCAGCCCGCTGCACCCTTCTTCCAACCCCAGCTCCTCACGGGGTAGCCGAGCCGTGGGCCTGTTCTTCCCTACAGCCCAAAGCTGGCAGTGGCCTCACCCACTCCCGCTCTTTTCTCTCGGACAAAGGGTGGCTTGGCTAGAAGGCCACGGGGTCCGGCGGAGGAGGCGTGCGCTCTTGTCAGTTGGCGGATGCCTGCGGTCTCTAATCTCATCCACCGATTAGACGAAGCCACAAACTCTGTGGCCTCCGTAGTGGGGTCAGAACTGGGACCCCGGGCCGTCATTTGCGGCCCCTGCGGAGTCCCCTTTCACCCTTTCACCCTTCCCCCTACTCGGGGCAGTTTCATCGAAACCCGGTCGCCCCGGGCGGGTCCGAGAGCAGAGAGAGAGGGCGGGGCGGAGTTGGAAGGCTGCAGAGTCGGGATCCACCCCAAACTGGCCGGGACGTGGACACCAAGTGTATGCCAGGCCGGTTGCAGGCAGCTCGGGCAGTTGGAAGGCTGGAACCGTTGTTGGGCTGCCTGCACTTCCAGCAATGCCTTCCCCCTTCCCTGCAGCGGCCATTCAGGCCACGCGAGCCCTAATGGTGGTATCCCTGGTGCTGGGCGTCCTGGCCATGTTGGTGGCCACAATGGGCATGAAGTGTACACGCTGCGGGGGAGACGACAAAGTGAAGAAGGCCCGTATAGCCATGACCGGAGGCATCATTTTCATCGTAGCAGGTGAATCACAGGTCCAAGGTGACCTCAAGGACACTTATGAGTGAAGGTGGGCAAGGTGATGGTTTGGGGGGGTCTCACAGTATCCAATCCTCTTGCCTCTCCAGGTCTTGCCGCTTTGACAGCTTGCTCCTGGTATGGTCACATGATTGTCACAGACTTTTATAACCCTTTGGTCCCCATGAATATTAAGTAAGTATGGAACTCCTGTTTACTGAGGGAACAGGTCAGGGGTTGGGAGGCAGGCCAGGGTTTCTGACCCCAATCCCTTCTCTCCACAGGTATGAGTTTGGTCCTGCCATCTTCATTGGCTGGGCAGGGTCTGCTCTGACCCTCTTGGGAGGTGCACTGCTCTCTTGCTCCTGTCCTGGGAGTGAGAGCAAAGCTGGGTACCGTGCACCTCACTCCTACCCTAAGCCCAACTCTGCCAAAGAGTACGTGTGAGCTGGAAGCCCCCTTGCCCCAGCCTGGCAGCCTGTGTGCCCAAACACTTGAAAGGACCTGAGGCAGAGAGCTCAGCCTGTGCACCAGATGCCTTAGGGTCACTGCAGTCTTGCACACCATGTACAGTTCCTTGGGGGCTGGGTTAAAGAGACCAGAAGAGGGGTGGGTGTGCTTTTTGTACAGTAATAATAAATATGTTTTGGAAAGTAGTGTTCTTGCTTCTCCCTTCAGGGACTTTTTCTTCCTACTGAGATCCTTGTAGGGAGCCTGGAACCTAAAGTATGCCTATTTCAGCTGAACAAACAAACAAAAACACTGAGTCTCAATGGTGTACCCAGTCACCCTTATTTCACCGTTTCATCATTCGGGCCCACTCAGGTGCTTGGTTTCCCATTCTCCAGTCCCAACTCTTGCTTAAATAGCTGCCAGTTTTTTTAGTTTAACTACAAACAAAAGTTTATTAGGCTTGAGGGGCAGATTTCCTAGTCTCTCACCCTCCTCTCTACTCCCATCCTTTCTCCTGACTGGATGCTACTCTCTGGCTCATGAGTCATAGGAAGAGCCTCCAGAGATGGAGGAAACAAAGATGGGACAGGGTAAGGCCAACTTAAACAATGAAAGGATGGTTATGGGCCCAAGGTTTCCCTAACCGCCTCCAGTCTAATCAAATCGCATGGCCAGTCAAATATCTAGGTCATCATCTGGGTCCTCTTGGTCCAGGTCATCGTAAGCATCTGGTTCATAGAAGATGCGGCTGGTAGCCTGGCCGAGACCACGGCACAGGAGAGCCTGCTGTCTAGGAGATAAGAGAAGAATTGGTGCTGTAAGGGTGGGTAACAAGTCCTGTCTGAAAACCCTATACCTAGTGACTATGACTCCTCTTTGTCTTCCATGTTTTCTCTATCCAAGTCCCTTCTCTGACCTCCTGGTTTAGTTAGTACTGAAGCACCATTTGGTACTGGAATAGATACTCTTACACTGCTCTCCTAATAATACTCTCTAAGTTCTCATTCTCAGCAGCTTGAGGGCAAGGATCCTGCCAGTCTTGTTTCATCCACCCACACACTGGGCACAGAACAACAGGCATCTAAGCCCTTACTAACCTGCCTTTGCCCTCCCCATCTAGTTTCCTGTCCTAGCACCGTTGTCTGGAGATTGGGACATTTCCTGAGGGTCTGGTCTGGTTCAGCCCAGACCCAGGTTGCTCTAGGGACAACTGTGGAGTTGGGACCCAAGGCAGTAATGGAGAGAAGAGACAAAGGCTCTTTGCCATTGTTGGGTTATAGGTGGGTAAAGAACCACTCCCCAGACTTGGCTCTGGAGATGGACTTCAACCCCTATAAAGTCTGATACGTTAATCAATAACCAGTTGTTGCCCCACCTCTCAAGCCCAGATGCTGGGCTCAATTCAAGGACCAGGGTACATAGGCCCCAACCTTACTTTTCAGAGCTGAACTGGAAGGGCAGGGTCAGGCTATCTTTGGCTTCCTTCTCTTTCTTGGACAGGTGAAGGTTAAAAGTCAAGTGAGTAGTGGGATCCACCTGTAGGTACAAAGGATGCTGCCACTGTGTTCCATTCCTGTAATCTGACCCCACCCCCAACCCGTGCAGTTTTTATTCTTGCCAGACCCCAAACTCCATTCTCTTGTTCTGGCCCCAGCACTCTTAGATACCGGGGGTGTAAGAGGATCTGGGTGGGGCTGGGACTTCAGGGGAGACACCCCCTGGAGATCCACGCCGAAGTCAGACAGGATGGAGAACCAGTGAGTCTGGTGGAAAGAAAGGAGAGTAGTAAAGTGTTTTTTTTCCCCATCTTGCTGAAGAAACCAGAGATCTATACAGCTAATACCTCTGGTCCTAATCAGCTATGTAAATGGCTGCTTTAAGTTCTTGCTCTCCACTTCTCACCCCTCCTTCAAACCTTTCTGCTCCCTATGGACTTGTTCCTTCTCCCTGCTAGTAACCACTCCTAGTCTTTTCTCCTTTTCCATTTCCTAGAAGGCAGTATCTTTCATTGGTTAAGCTCATAGGATCTCAGTTTCCTAGGCTGCAAAACAGGGATAAGAAAACTATTCACAGGCCCTGACTGGTGTGGCTCAGTGGATTGAGTGTCGGCCTGTGAACCAAAGGGCCACGGGTTCGATTCCCAGTCAGGGCACAAGCCTGGGTTGTAGGCCAGGTGCTCAGTAGGGGGCGTTCAAGAGGCAACCACACATTGCTGTATCTCCCCGCTCTCTAAAAATAAAATCTTTTTTTTTTTAGATTTTATTTATTTTTAGAGAGGGGAGGGAGAGAGGGAGAGAGGGAGAGAAACATCAATGTGTGGTTGCTGGGGGGGCCGTGGCCTGCAACCCAGGCATGTGCCCTGGCTGGGAATCGAACCTGCGACGCTTTGGTTCGCAGCCCGCGCTCAATCCACTGAGCTACGCCAGCCAGGGCATAAAAAAAATAAAATCTTTCAAAGAAAAGCTATCTTCACAGGTTAGCCATGAAGATTAAATGAGGGGAGATAATGAAATGATGAAAGCACAAAGAAGTGCTCCATCACATCAGCTTTGTTACTGCTCTTCTCCTGTGTGACCCCAATCTCCTCCCGCACTTCTAACCTCATGTGTTGGACGCTGTTGGGGCCTCCTATAGAGAATGTGAGCTGAGGCCTGGCTCCCAGTACCGCTCAGGGTCACCTCAGTCCGAGCAAGGGCACTCAATGTTCCCATGGGGCCTGGGCCATGAAGCTCTCCATGTAGCAGGCCCAGCACATGCACGTGTTCTACTGGGGAGCTGTCACCTAGAGAGGACAAGACATATAGGTCAGAAAGGGCAGTAGGGAGCATCATTCAGGGTTGAGACCTGGGACCAAATAATGAAGAGGAAAAAAGGAGAGGCAGGCCCCCATTCCATTACAGCTCTGCCACACTCCCAACTTACTTTGCCCAGTTTCATGCCCTGCCCTGAGCCTCTTTGGGTTCTCACCTTTCATGTACTTTCTTATTCTAATGTAAATCTGATTAAGGCACCACTCTGACTACAATCCACAGGTCTTCAGGATGAATTAACACTTTCATCATCTGCTCCCTGTTATCTCTTACGTACTGAATAACTTACAGTTTTTGGAACTTGCCAAGATCTGAGTCAGTGCCTTTGATTCCTTCCCTTTTGGGTGGGGCAGCATTTGGAGTGTCAGGCACTGCACTAAACACTATAAAAGTGGCAATTCCACACTTTTACAAAGAAAGCTAAAGCAGAGAGATCAAATACCTTAATACAAAGCTAGGTATCTGACTCCAAAGCCCATGCTTGTTAGTAGCCACAGTATACAGGGTGGGTCAAAGTAGGTTTATAGTTGTTCCTATGGAAAGTAAGACAATAAATAAATGATTTTCATGCACTCACAAAAGTAAACCTACTTTTTGCCCCACCCTGTACTTCAAGGCTAGTCCTAGTGTCATGAGCCGGGCCAAATTTGCAGGGCTGATCTCTTGCTCCAAGACAGTTCCTTCCTTTAGGTAGTCTGTGCATGCTCCTTTATCATCATGGCTCTTATTAGAATATCTTGTAATTGCTTGCTTACTTGTCTGTATCCGTGATAAAACTTTGAGCTCCTGGAAGACAAGGACCTGACTATAGTTAGTCTTTATTTTCCCATTATCTAAAGTTATATCTGACACATTGAGAATGAAATTAATGTTTGTTGAATGAGTGAATAAAATAGAAGTCTAAAAAAGAATGTGGAACCCTAACACGTGGCTCAGTTGATTGGAGTGTCATCCTAGACACCAAAAAGGTTGTGGGTTTCATCCCGCGTCAGGGCACATGTCTGAGTTGTGGGTTCAATCCCCAATTGGGGTGGGAGGCAGCTGATCAATGTTTCCCCTCTCAGGTCTCTCTCAAATTAAGAAACTTATCCTCGCCCTGGCTGGCGTAGCTCAGTGGATTGAGCGTGGGCTGCTAACCAAAGTGTCGCAGGTTCGATTCCCAGTCAGGGCACATGCCTGGGTTGCAGGCCACGGTCCCCAGCAACCACACATTGATGTTTCTCTCTCTCTCTCTCCCTCCCTTCCCTCTCTAAAAAAAATAAATAAATAAAATCTTAAAAAAAAAAAAAAGAAACTTATCCTCAGGTGAGGATTAAGAAAAAAACAAATTTGGAAACAAAACAAGTGATTGCTGGGTAGCATTACAGAGAAGTCAAGAACTAGTATAAAGGTATGTTTTTTCTTAGGGTAGAAAGGAGCACATTCCTTAGCAGGGGGAGATGTATAAGGGGAAGTAATGGAGAAGGAGTCTCACCAGGGCGGGAGTCCTGATGGCTCAGAGCATGCAGGGTCTGGCAGACTGTGGTGCAGGGAAGGTGAAGCAGCAGCCAGCTAAGTGAATCAAGAGCAATGGTGACAGGACCAGGACCTGTCCTCCTGCACATGGCTCTCAAGACTCCCAGGGGTCCCCCAGGAAGGGCCTCCCCAGTCTTTGACCAGTTGAGAGGGTCTCTGAAAAGGTCATGGTAAACTAGCCTGCAAGGGGAAAAAAACAAGACAACATAATACTGTCACTTACCCCCAATCTTGAAATTCTCTGATCTTTGTGGCTCAGTTTTCTCAATTTTCACTAATATCTTGAATACCAGTGAAAAATAATAACTGAGAAGTAGAATGTAGTCACTGAGTGCACAGACTTTGGCATTAGACAGCCCTGAGCTCCAAGCTTCAGTTTGCTAATTGCCCAAGGTCACCTGAGATAAATTTCTTAACCTAAGACTCAGTTTCTTCATTTGTAAAACAGGGATACAAACCTCTTGACATTTAGCACAGTGCTTGATACACACTAAATACTTGATAAATATGTCAGCTACTGTCACCGTCAAATATATCCTGAGTGGTGCCTAAACTGTATCATTCTCTGAATGGAAAAAGAGAAAGGAAAGAACACGAGAAATGGTTCCAGCCTGTAGAACAGTTTAGCAAAGGTCAAGAATTAAGTTATGTGGTACTACCTATATATAAAACATCAATTCAGGGAAGGGAGACTGGTGTGGGATAAAAATCCTGGGAAAGCTTCATAGTGGCAGAACTTGTTCCTACACACCTTTCTATCTTCTGCTTCCCTTGTGGATGTCATCTGAACATACAGCATCAGCTCTCTCACAATGGCTGGTACAAAATTAGGGTTCAATAGACAGATATACACTGTTATAATCCACAGAGCTACCCTGACTAGGAAGTAATCTTTCTTAACCAGGCAACATAGGTGGGTTCATGGAGCTCCTGATCTGGATGCTTTCCTTTACTCCACATCTGTTAAGATCTGGAAGCCTACCTGCTAAAGCCCTCTCACATTTGTCCTAAACTCCCCATCCCTTTTGCCACTTCCTCAAGCCAGGCCTCTGTCATCTCCTACTATTATTTTCTAAGACTCATTAGAACAGGAATCATATCTGCCTCATTCCTGGCTGTATCTCCAGTGCTTAGTACTGGTTCACAGTTGGTGCTCAGTACATATCCTGTCCAAGTGAACATGGATTACTGCAACAGACTTCCCATCTGGTCTCCCTATCTCCAGGCCCCTGTCAACCCTTCTCAACCTTGTAGTCACTGAATCTTTCTGACAGGAACGATGGTATTACTTCCCTCCCAAATTTTCAAAATGACTCCCCACTACCTTTATAATAACATCTAAATTCCTTTTCAGACTTTTCACTATCAGGTTTACTCTTTAAATCTGATTTCAGTAAGCTCTTCCATCTTCATGAACAGGTATGCCTTCCCATACCTCCCTAATTCTGCATATGCTGTTCCCTCTGCCTGTAGGACAAGTCCCCCAGGAGCTTGCAGTTAAGCGATGATGCAAGTTTGGAATCCATGTCTGGATTAAACATCACTAGATTCTGAGTAACGCAAAGGCAGAGCATGTTTATTTTTCTTCTCCAGTACAGCTTCCAGTGTTAAACTGTTCTGTTGGCCTTTACCCTCTATTTCTCTCACTCTATAATCTCTGCTTTGGATTCTCCAGATACTTAACGCTCCTCATTCTTCTTATTAATTCTTGCTTCCTGAAAAGCCCATATCCATTTATTCAATAAATAAGTAGCTACTACCACATACTAGGTTCTTCGCTTGTTGCTGCAAGGGAAATTCCTTAGTAATAGAGATCGCACATCCAATTAATTCTTCCAATTTGTACTTACTGGCTGTTGATACTGGAGTCAAAACCTTCGCGAAACTCTTCCTCGCTCACTTCACAGCCCAGGACGTGGACCTGCTCTCCACTGAGGAACATATGAGGCAGAATGTCAGAGTGGGGTCCAAGCTTCCGGACCACCGCGGAGGTCCGGAAGTGGCTGCGGGCTACTCACCACAGCGCAGATTTCTTGATTAGCGCCTTCAAAAGACTGCGGCCCTCCCACTCCACAGAGTCTGGGGAAGAATGAGAGACGGATAAACAGCATGAGAACAGAGGTTTCCACCTTCACGAACCCGTCCCAAGTGCGCCTCTAGCCAGTGACCCTTGGTCCTTCCTCTTCGCTTCCGCCCTTTAAGCCCGGCTCCAAAGCCCCCGGGCCTGTGACCCTCACCTCGAAGAAGGACAAAGCCGCCAAGAGCTAAAACTGACTCCAACATCTCCAACTTGCGTATCGTTCTTTCTCCGACGCCCTTTGATGGCGTCATGACTTGTTGCCCCGCCCCCAGGGAAAGGGGCGGGCAATTCATGATCCCTCCCACCACTAAGACCTGGCATAGTTTGCAATGGGAGATGAATAAGTTCAATGTTCCCAAGGTGGCTCACGCGGAGACACCGCTCTCATGCCTCGGCGCACAAACGTACAGACGTACGGACGACGCCCCTCTCCACATTTTTACAGTGACTAGGGCGGGAAAAGCGGTTGGAGCAGTTGTAAATGGGAGACCGCTGCACGAGCTAGTCAGTCGGCCCGAACTCGGGGTCAACTGACATCACTCTGCCCCTTTCACCCCTTTAGAGGCGGGGCCTGCAGGCGCTCCAGGTCCCGCCCCACCGCCACCTTCCGCACCTGCGCAGTACTGCGGCCTTGTTGGGGGGGGGGGGTACATTCTCCTTTCCTTATACCCACCCCCGTAGACCGAGTCCCGAACTTAGTCCCGGTGAAGCGAATACACGTCACCACCGGAAGTAGTGTCAGAGGGGAAGAGGAGGGGGGAAGAAAGGAGGAGGGAGCCCTTTGGGTGATAAAATGGCGCCTATCAGAGTGGGAAATCCAGCTGCAGAAACTGCAGCCCCACTTCCCAGCGGCTAAGGCATCCCTGACCTCGGGGAGGGGGAGGCCGCTCCGGTTCAGCCATCCGCGCTTCTCGGCTCCCCCTCCCCCTCCTTGCCGCTCCTTCGTTCAGCCAGCCTGTTCGTCGCCGCGGTCCTTCTCGTGCCGCGGCCCCCGCCCGCCCCTTTTTCGCGGGCAGCCCCCTAGCGCGCCTGCGCAGCGGGCCACCCTCCGCTTCCTCCTTCCCCTCCCCCTTCTTTCTCCCTAGCCCCCTCCCCCCATTACCCCCTCCCCCAACTCTCCATCCCCTTCCCTTCTGGTCTCGGAGGACCCCATCCTATCCCGATCTATCTCGGCCCGCAATCTCCGCGAAGCCGTCGGTGCCACTCCCTGCCCATGTGGGCCCCTGCGGGCTGCCCACGCTTGTCCCCCAGCTCCTGGTTCCGCTGGGCTTTCCCCTCGCCAGGGGTGGCTTTCTGAGCCGCCCGCTCCGTACCCCTCTCTGCAGCCTCTCCTGCCATTCGGGGCCCCCGTTCCCCCTCCCGGCGGCGGGGGGCTGCCCCCGGGGGGCTGGCGGAGCTGGGCCGCGGGGGCCCCGGGGCCGGCGGTGCCGGGGTCATCGGGATGATGCGGACGCAGTGTCTGCTGGGGCTGCGCACATTCGTGGCCTTCGCCGCCAAGCTGTGGAGCTTCTTCATTTACCTTTTGCGGAGGCAGATCCGCACGGTGAGCCTGGGTGGGTGCTGGTCGTGGTAGGGACTTCTGTCAGCGGTGCTCACGGGATTTCGGAAAGTGTCGGGCCTCTTCTTTGGTCCTGGCGGCGGCTTCTCTCCTTAAACAATCAGGGCACCTTTAGCAAGGTATGGGGTGGGAAGGGGAGGAGGGAGACCCTTGTAGTAGAACGGAGATCGGGGAATTAGGGACAGGTTCTGGCAACTCTTGGGGGCTAGGATGGTGGGTGGGGCGCTCTTAAGAAAGCTGGAATTGCTGTTGAAGAAACCGAGAGGCAGGGAACACCTGTTTGATGGCAGCAAACAGATGTTGATGTGGGCTTGTGAAAGATCCCCCTCTTATTAGAAAACTCCGTGTGTGTTTGGTCTTATAACAAGGGAGAGACAGGCTTATGTGTCAAGAGTGGAGGTGGGTGGGAGGGCATATGTGACAAACAAGAATGGAAACTTGGGAAAAGCCCTGGGTTTGAAGAAGAAGCCCCTGAGGTTTGTTTGCATGAAGGGAACTCCTCCAAAAAGGCCCAGAAAACTTACTTCACAGTGTGAGTGTTTGAATTTATTGAGATCCTGGGACTAAGATGCTTTTTTATTTTGGGCTTCTTTAGTTGTGGAAGGGAGCACATTAAAGTTAGAGTGTTCCATTCAGAAGACCATGTTTGTCAGTTGCAGGCTTGGATCCCAGGGAAAGGCACCCTTGGTTTCTCCCTGAGACCCCTATCATTGTGAGGGATACTGTGGGTGGTGGAAACTGTACACGTATACAAGTATCTCTGGGTTCCCTCCCCTGTAGCTTTTTTCCAAAGTCAGAGCTCCTTAGGCCAACATCGTGTAATGAATGGGTTCTTGTGTTCTCATCATCACTGGGGAGAATTAAGTGAGCTGGGGTTTGCTGGTCTGTACTCTTTGGCATACCTTAGTAAAGCCTGAAAGAATAAAACCAGGTAGGGGCTGTGTAGGTCAAGGAATTTCCAGAAAATCCTGGGTGGTACTGCTAGTGGACTTGCTGATTTGGGAGGATGGGCCTGGCCTTGCATTTAGTGTCTCTTTTACCATTCTGCTCCTTCTGTTTGCTGAGTTAGAGTGAGGATTGTTCTGGGTAGTCATGGTTGTAAGCAGGGCTGTTTCACTGAGACAAGAGTTAGGAGCCAAGAAGAATTTCAGGTCGGAGATGCTGATATGTGTATAGAGTTAGCACCTGGGGTTTTCTTCACATGTTACCTGCCATCTCTCTCTGCCTGGACTTGCTCTAAGCAGCCTACTCTCTTTCTCTAACACATCAGTTTTTGTTCTGGGTGCAGGGAGCAGTGCTTCGGCCACCCAGAGGCTAGTTGCTTTTCTTTGAGTGGCACTGACCCCACAGCCTTTTGTCTTGTCTTCCCTTCCAATCTGGTTTCTTCCCCCACCCCCTTTCTGGCAGTTGCTTAGAGCAGTCCCTACATGCCCAGCATGTGCAACCCGAGATAGCAGGGCAGGATACCCGAGCTATTGCGGCCCTCATCATGGCCCAGGGAGAAAAGAAGGGCAGGTGCCTTGGGATGAGGGGTGAGGGCTCTTTGGTTTGCAAGGGGAAGTCTAGTTTTCATGAGGCTGAGGGCCTATGAATGAACTAAAGAACATTTGTCTGTTTGTGCCTTAGAAGAAAAGAGTAGACAAGGGAATTGCCAGGCTTTGCATGGGGGAGATCCGAGTGTTAGAAACAGGAGTCTCTGGAGAAGGCTTGGAGAAATTGGAAGGCTGAGTTGGTGATGTCCTTGTCCCATCTTCACCTCTCACTTACAGCCTTTACTGCACTCTGGCCTTCTCCACACCCTATTAGTCAGTCTGGTGGGTGGGGCTTTCCAGTGTCCTCTGCCTTGCCCTAGGTACCAGGAAAAGGAGGCCGTTCAAAAGGCTGGGGTTCTTTGCAACTTGTGACTTGGCTTGTAGAGACAGAAATGGACAGGTGGCTGGTTAAAATAGGCCTGGTGACCCCTAGCCAGAGGAACTTAGCTGACCTGACAACCCCTGGATTCCCTCATCCTCTATTCTGCCTAGGGATCCAAAGACTTCCCTTGACTCCTACTCTGTGTCCACTAAGGAATCTCAGGCTGATGGGAGTTGTCACAAAGAATCCTCAGGTTGGAGTTGGGGAGAGCTGTATATTTCTTTGTTCAGTGTAGCAAGATAATATCTTGGTTAAGAGAGTAGGTTCTTGCATTAGACTGCAGGATACAATCCTGGCTCCACCATTTTATCGATTCTAATATTAACTGACCACCCCTGCTACAGTGTTCTAGGAATACAGCCATGATGGAGACAAAATCTGTGCTTTCATTCTAATTTGGACAAACAACTAAATAAGATAATTCCTATCTGTGTGGCCTTAGGCAAGGTATTTATACTCTCCAAGCTTCAGTTTCTTTATTCTTAAAACAGAGATGTTGTTGTTGTTGTTGTTTTGAGAAATGAATGACATAATCCTAAATCATCACTTCATGGTGCCCAACATATGGTAAATGTTCAACACGTGCTACCTGTTGTTACTGGGGAAGATTTCCTTGTCAAGGGTTCTAATCCTGATTTGTTCTCAGGTGATTCAGTACCAAACTGTCCGATATGACATCCTTCCATTATCTCCTGTGTCCCGGAATCGGCTAGGTGAGTGTGCTGGCTGGGGAGATTCTTTAAGGTGAGGTAGGTTTCAAGGTCTGGGCTGGAGGTTGGTTGGTATTATTCCTTCCTGTTGTGGTTCAGGCCAGGTGAAGAGGAAGATTCTGGTGCTGGATCTGGATGAGACACTTATTCACTCCCATCATGATGGGGTTCTGAGGCCCACGGTACGACCTGGAACACCTCCTGACTTCATCCTCAAGGTGTGTGGGGGTGGGAAGTGGTGGAATCATTATGTCTGCTATTCTACTTGGACCTTTTCTAATTCCGGAATGTGTTATGCCCGTCCCCCCATCCCCTGGTACCAGCGTCAGCCTGAAGAAGGGAAGCAAGCAGTGGGAAGGTGGGGGGTATCCTTCAGGTACTATGGTGCTGAGGACTTCCCCCAGCCCTTCCTTGTTCCTCTACAGGTGGTAATAGACAAACATCCTGTCCGGTTTTTTGTACATAAGAGGCCCCATGTGGATTTCTTCTTAGAAGTGGTGAGTTTGCAGAAGCCAAAGGAAGCTCTATGATGAAGGAATGGTTTTAGGGTTCTGGGAATTTAGAAGATTTGGAGGAAGTAAGGGGTGAGATATGGGTAAGGGCAATTTTGGAGAAGGGAGGTTGTGGAATGGTTGGAGAATGGCTTTTGGTAGTTTGGTTATTTGCTTTGCTGGTATAATTATTCTTTCACAGGTTTCCTGCTCTTTTGTTCTTGCATCTCGGAATCTTAAGGGCTTATGGTGCCTAAGACGCTTAAGTTCGGAATTTTTGTGTTCTCAGAGATATTTGATAATTGCTAAGTGTCCTGAATGACAAGGCTAGAGTGCTAGTGAAAGGGAACTGTATGTGTAAATAAGCCCTGACTGGTGTGGCTCAGTGGGTTGGGTGTTGCTCCACAAAGTGAAAGGTCACTGGTTCGATTCCTGGTCAGGTCACATGCCAGGTCACATGCCTGGTTCGATTCAGGGCATGTTTTACACACATCGATATTTCTCTCCCTTTCTCCCTCCCTTCTCTTCTCTCTAAAAAATAAATAAATAAAATATTTAAAAACAATAAAATAAATGAGTGATCACCTCTTCTGTCACCTCCTTCTTCCCCTGTCTACTTCAGGTGAGCCAATGGTATGAGCTGGTAGTGTTCACAGCAAGCATGGAGATTTATGGCTCTGCTGTGGCAGATAAACTGGACAATAGCAGAAGCATTCTTAAGAGAAGATACTACAGACAGGTAAGGGGCTAGAATCCAGGGCTAAGAGTGAAGCTCTAAAGGCAGGCCACCAGGGAGGGATTTGAGTTTAAAGCAATTGTCCTGGAATGGAACCTTTTGGGGACATGAGGGAGGCATACTGCATGATCTCCTTTGTTGGAATTTGGCTGCCCATGGTGTAGTTAGGATTGGGGGAGCAATTACAGAGGATGAGTCTCCTTTTGATACCCAGCTCACCCTGTCTTCCAGCACTGCACTTTGGAATTGGGCAGCTACATCAAGGACCTCTCTGTGGTCCACAGTGACCTCTCCAGCATTGTGATCCTGGATAACTCCCCCGGGGCTTACAGGAGCCATCCAGGTATGGGGGAATGTGGTGAGTCTGGCAGGACGAGGAAGTGGTTCTGAGAAGGTATCTTGATATCTTGTTTTACTGTAAGTTAGGATGGTATTGTTCCTGTTTTAAGTGAGATGTTTCACCCTCTCCCACATGTCTGTTTTATAAATCAGATTTGCTTCAGGTGAAATACAATGGCACTATTTGACTAGAAGCCTCACACTAGTATGAGAAATGGTGATTGAAATTAAATTTAATTTTGGAGTATAAGTCAGGAAGATTCTTGCTTAGATTTTGACTTGGGTGGGCGGGTGGTAGTGAGAAACATATAGGAGTAGGCAAAAGCAGGTTTATAGTTCATATGAAAAAAGACATGCAGGTTACGATGATTACAATAGCTTTATTAAGTCAAAAGAATGCCACTCATAACTAAACCTACTTTTGCCCACCCCTGTAATGATCCCTACTCCCAAACAAAAGAAAAAACGCCATCCCTCTTGAATTCTTTATTTCTTCTCACGTGCGTCTTTCACTTAATCTAGACAATGCCATCCCCATCAAGTCCTGGTTCAGTGACCCCAGTGACACAGCCCTTCTTAACCTGCTTCCCATGCTGGATGCCCTCAGGTAAGGGTAGCTAGACACTTAGATTTCAGAGGAAAGGAGGTGGTGGGGGAATCCTAAGAGGGAATAAAAGTTTGTCCTGTTTTACTTATCTCTCTTCCCTTAAGCATTTAGCATTTGAACCCAGGTCTTATACTAAAGCTGCTCACTTTTAGCGCTTGGCTTGGGTTTTGGGCCAACTAAACCTCAGTCTCATCATGTGAAAATGGTGACTGCCCCACATCTCCACTGAGGCTGCCTGACACTAGTGTGGGGATATGAACTATAAGGACTCTACCAATGCAAATTATTGTCATCCCAGGTTCACCGCTGATGTTCGTTCTGTGCTGAGCCGAAACCTTCACCAACATAGGCTCTGGTGACAGCTGCTCCCCCTCCACCTGAGTTGGGGTGGGGGGGAAAGGGAGGGTGAGCCCTCAGGATGCCTGTCTGATGCTTTGTCCAATGGTGAGGACTGCTTGGGCAGGGTCTGTCCCTCCTGCCCCTCTGCCCTGGGAGCCCTGCACTCCATATGGAGTCTGGATGGACACATAGGCCAGACTGTGAAGCAGCCTCTCTCTAACTTCGTGTTCGCACTCCCTGGAAACCCCAGACTGGGACATGAGCGGAGGACTAGCAGAGCCGAAACATTGTCTGTGGTGGAGAGAGAGGACTGGCCAGAGTGAGACATTCAATAATCTGGGAGGCTCAGAGAGAAGCCAAGTCAGCTTTGTTGTGATTTGATTTTTTAAAAAACTCTTGTACAAAACTGATCTAATTCTTCACTCCAAGGGCTGGGTTGTGGGTGGGAAACTGGGATTTGGGCCACTGGATTTCACCCAAACTTGTACCCCCCTTACTTTTCTCTATATTTTCCTTTCCTAGATTCCCTCAGACCTGTAACCAGCTTACTGTTTGTTTTTTCCCCCCTCCTCTCTTTTAAACCATTCATTATAACTTTGAAACCAAAGCTGCCCCAGGTCCTTCTCTGGGGTTTTGGGAAATTAAGGGCAGAGGGGAGAGACTGCTGTTGGTAGGGGGGATAGGCGGTGGTGGCTTTGCAGGGATGGAGTAGTGAACGACCACATCAGATGTTTTTGACAGAATGGGCCTCCTGGCTGGGAGGGAAAGGACAACTGTATGGCCTGAGGGAATTGAGGATCAGAGCCATAGGACACAGACATATGAAAGGAGGAGAAACCTAGACGCCAGAAAAGGCATATAGCTGGAAAGAAGCCAGTCAGGGGGACTGACTAGACAAGCTAAACGGGCTATTCCGCCAGGCACCAAGTTCCCCCAGCCTTGCTCTTCCTGGGTTACTAAGCCTCCAGCTCCCGCTCCTGCAGCTGCGGGCCCCACCTCCCGGGGCCCTCCTCCCAGAAGCCGGCTCTACTTCCTAGCAGCTGCCACGTGATGCTCCGCCCTTTCAGATCACATGATTTTATTGCTGCAAGTGTGTAAAGTGTTCCTCCGCGTTGATGTAGTCCCCACCTTTCGGACCTACCCGGCAGTCCCTATTGGTCCACGCTCCTGAAACCTAAGCTTTCTGTGCGTCTCTCCAAACATGTATTTAGTTTATGCCCTTTATTTCCGAACCACCGTCTCCACTTGGGTACTACGTTGTTTTGGTGTCAACGGCCGTCTTGAGCGTATCAGCACGTTTCGTGAATAGCTGCCCTTGTATCAGCTTTTTCTCTACCTTATGTACAAAAAGAAATTTTGGAGAGCCGAATCTCAAATTATGATTATCTCCTAGCTTTTTATCCCCACTTTCGTAGGAAGGTTGAGAAATGGTTTTTGTTATTCACGGTAGAAATAGCAACTACCTTTGCTACGTCGCTGGCTTAGCCCACAAATAGATTCCAAAGTGATTACGCTGACGGTGGAGGGGGGTGGGGTGTCAGTAGGTGGTGCTAAGTTAGCAGCGTTAGGGCTGCTGCGCTGCTGGCGTAACCAGCAAGCAAGAGGACCCTTGATGGGCGGGGGCGGGGTTGGCGAATAGGGAAGTGGCGCAAATCCTGAGATCCCTCCGCTGAATCCGCCTGCGCCGTCGCCACCGTCGTCGCTGCCACCGCCCCCTGTCCCGGGCCCCCCCCCTCCCTGGGTTCCCTCAGCCCAGTCCGGTCCAGCCCGGTTCCCGGGAGGATGAAGTTCGTGTATAAAGAGGAGCATCCGTTCGAGAAGCGCCGCTCTGAGGGCGAGAAGATCCGAAAGAAATACCCGGACCGGGTCCCGGTGAGGACGGTAGCCAGGGCCGAGGGTGCGGGGCGCTGGAACTGACGCCACAGCCTGGGCTTGTGTTTGGAGCAGTCAGCGTAGTCGTCAGGCTTTCGGCCGTGGTGGGGTTGGGAACGATTCTGAAACTGTCGTCTTTGGAACTGGAGGTGAAAGGAGGGATAGTGGTAGCTGCGGGTGAGGGGATGTAGATGGGAGAGATAGGCCTTCGGGTTCAAGTCGGAGGAGGCTATAGGGAATTTGACAGTCTGAATGTCACATGGTCATTCCTCTCAGCTGCGAGATTTTTGAGATTGAAGCTGTAGTCGGCCCATACAGGTTATTCCCGTCTGATTAAGATAGTTGTTTATTATAATGCCCCCTATTCGGGGACCTGGAGGTTGAGTGGAGTCAGTGGGCTCCGGCTGTCTACTTAGGGCTGGCTACACAGTATGTTCAGAGACAAAGAGAAATGAATTTGGAGTAGGTTTGGGTGTTAGGTATATTGTTGTTTGAATTCCTGACAGGTGGAGTTAGATATTACAGCTGTGGGGCTGTAATATTTAGTGTCTTCTAATTTTTATCTTTTCTTTATCAGGTGATAGTAGAAAAGGCTCCCAAAGCTCGGATAGGAGACCTGGACAAAAAGAAATACCTGGTGCCTTCTGATCTTACAGGTGGGGACCTGACCCCAACACCCAGGTTTGCTACCTGTGGGAGGAGGCTCCAAATAGAAGCTGTTCTTTTGAGGGCATTTGTGATATTTGTGACTTTATCAGACTTTGTATTTTTGGCAGTCGGTCAGTTCTATTTCTTGATCCGGAAGCGAATTCATCTCCGAGCTGAGGATGCCTTGTTTTTCTTTGTCAACAACGTCATTCCACCCACTAGTGCCACGATGGGTCAACTGTACCAGGTATGGTGACTGGGAAGTAGTGGAAGCTTTGGAGAGGGAGTTGGAAGAGCTTGAGTGGAAGAAAGTTTTAGGTCAGCAGTTCTTGGACCAGCAGGCTTGCTTAGCTCTCCATTTTTTCTTTGGCCTTAAAATTTCTGGGTAGTTCTGGGTTGGGAGTTTGGACAGGGTGGTGGGAGACAGAATGGAGAATAGCGAGCTGGAGCAACTGTTCTGATATAGATTCTCCTCAGTTCTAGTCCCCTTCTCATTCCAAGACAGCAGAGGATGATTGGACTTTTTTTTTTTAATTTTTAATTTTTTACTTTTGCCTAGGGCTGTTCTTAAGGATAATCCTACTAGGCTGCCAGGTCCTGGAGCAAGTGAGGGCTCTGGTTTTGGGGGTCTTCAAAAAGTGGTTTTTGAAGAATATGTTTGGGCAGTGGGTGGATCAAACAACTAACGGCCAGATGCCTGAGTACCATTATTTTCTGCTTTCACCCCAGGAACACCATGAAGAAGACTTCTTTCTATACATTGCCTACAGTGATGAAAGTGTCTATGGCCTGTGAAGCTGCTGCGCCTGTGGTGGGGGGTTCCATTCTACAAAGAGAGAGGTGGCCTCCCCTTCCTTGACCTCCTCTCTTCAGGACCTGCACTTCCTAATGTTTGAGGCTCTTCTCCAGAACCTCTTAGCAAGAGGGTCAATGGGGGAGATCGCTTCTAGTACCTCTCTTTTCTCCTTCCTTCCTCTTTCTTTACCACCTTTTCCTTTTTTGCTTTAGATTTGATTGTCCATCTCTGTCACATCAAGTGATTGTTTTGGTTTCTGTTCCCTTTCTAACTGCCAAGGGGCTCAGAACCCCAGCAATCTTTTCCTTTCACTACCTTTTTTGGGGGTAGATGGAAGGGACTGAAATTGTTGGGGAAGGTAGGAGGCACATCAATAAAGAGGAAACCACCAAGTTGAACTGGATTTTGCTTTGTGTTGCTACTCTCCCCCTTCTGTCTTTTGGTGGTCTGTGGGGAGAAATGAGGTTGGAGGGGTAGTGATATATTTTGGTTTATTCTGTTGATGTGGGACTTTTCCTTATGCACAAAACGGGTGCTTTTGTTGTGATGGATGGGATACTCTGAGTATTGTTTCTTGAAGCTAAAGTTGTACATATGTGTGTTTTGGGTCCTAATGTAATGAGTAACTTTTTTACTGTGGGTTCCTTTGGAGAAAGTTTGAAACTACCTGCTTTAGATAAATACATCCCAATTCATTATAACCTTTTGCAGGAAGAAAGATTTTCATGTGTGGAGGCTGGTAAAAAGTTCTTAATCCTCAGTTGCATGTCACTTGGTCAGACTTTGGGCGGGTGTGTAGCAGTGGAATCCAAAGGAGGGAGAAGACTAGGAGGAGGGAATCCACCATCACCACGAGAACTTCATCTCCCAGCAACCACTTCCCTGTCTAGCCGGAAGTGGGCGGTCCCCTGGGAGGGGAGGGAGGGAGAGAAAGAAGCTGCAGAATGAGACAGTATGGTGGCCGAGAGTTTTAATCCCTTCTTTCCCCTGTCCCGCCCAGCCTACATTTCCCAGGAGCCTGCGCGCGCTTTTCCGCTCTACCCTGCGCTCCCAATCTCCCCGCCACTCCCAGGGGGAGGGGAGGGGCTTAGTGCGCCTGCGCTAATCCGTGGCTTGCTGGGAACTGAAGTTCCCAAGGCTTATGCCGTTCCTTTCCCGCTGCCCCCAGGCGGACTACAAGCTCCTTGATGCATTGCGCGTCGGCGCCCGCGAAGGGAGGAAAGGGAGGGGAGGGAGGGGGGGAGTGGAGAGGAGGAGGGAGCAGGCGGCCGGCGGCGCGGGGGGAGGGGGCTCGGTCCGGGAGTGCGGGAGGCAGTGGTAGAGGGAGGTGGCGGCAGTGGCTAGCGGACTCGAGTCACAACTGGGTCGAGGCAGACATCTCTGCGGAGGGAGGCAGCAGGAACACCGAGCACCGGAGGCGGCACCGGGATCCCCGGCTCAGGGGAGGGGGGCGCCGGACCGGGAGGAGGGGAGGGGGCGATGCTGGAAGCCATGGCGGAGCCTAGTCCCGAAGGTGAGCGAGCTCTCGACCGGCACCGAGCGCTGAGCTGGAGGGTGGCGGTCAAGGAATCAATTGGCAAACTTGGAGGTCGATGCCCGGAGCCCAGCGAGGGAGCGTGGGGAGGGGTTCGGGGGCCTGCCCCCGGAGGTGGGAGAGCGACGACGAGTTGAGAGACCTTGGAGAAAGAGGAGTGGGAGACTGAGCTGGGGATAGTTGGAGATCAGATGCTGGGGGGTGGGGGGCAGAGGTGGGGAGTGGGAGCTGGAAATTCGGAGCTTCGGGTGTTACGGGCCGAAAGGGCCTCCGGCGGGCTGGGGCCCTGAAGCTGAGTGGCTGGGGAAACCTGGGGGCCGGAGAGGAGTTGAGGAAGGAGGCGGTAGAGGAGAGCTGAGTGAGGAGCCCGGTAGTTCGCTAAGGTGGGGGAGTTTGCGGCGGTGGTGCCGGAGCTCCGGGTAGTTGCCGCTGGAGATGGCCGGGTGATTGTTGGAGGAGTGGGAAGATAGTTGTGGGGAGAAGAGGGAGTCTGGGTATTGTCTGTGGTAAGGGACCTGTACCGGGTTAGTTGTAGGGAGAGAGAGCCGGCCGTGAAGCGAGGAGAGCTGGGCAGTTTAGCGGCGGTGGGGCGGGGTGGGGGGGATTAAGACCCGCGGGTTGAGAGGTGGAGTGGGGGAGTTGGTCGGAGAGGGTTAAAGCTTGGGAGTTGCGGAGGGTGAGGGGGCAGCGGCAGCAGCAGCGGGGGGGTTGCTGTGGAGGGGGAGAGTAGCTGGGCGGGGGGCTAGAGTTTAAGGGGTCCGTAGCCTACTGACTTGGTGGTGAGTACGGGGGTGGGGGTGACTTAGTGGTGAGTACGGAGACGAGGATGGGGGGCAGGGGGCGGAGAGAGCGCCGAACTAGGTCCGGGGGCCCGGCGAGGAGCCTGAGAAGCTCGAGGCGGGGAGGGGCCAAAGCCCCGGATGGGGGCGGAGGGACAGTGAAATTGTGGGGACCGTGCTGTGTGGGGGCAGGTGGGGCCGCGTCCGGGTTAAAGCTCTCTAGTCTGTCCCGGACGCAAAGTGGCGTTGGATGTGTGAGCCTGTGTGTGTTTAAGGTGGGGGTGAGGGGCGCGCCGAGCCTCGTGCTCCAGTAGAAGGGGCCGGAGGGCGGGGAACGGCTCAGCGTGGTCATCCTAGACCCCGGGGGCCGGCGGGCGGCGAGTACGGTCTCGGAGGGACCAGGATGGTAGAGGGCGGCTCGGCAGGAACTCCGGGTACTGGGCGCCTAAGAAGGGTAGGGGCAGGAGACAGCCCGGTCCCAGGAGCTGTATGGCGGGGTGGGGCACTCAGAGATCCGAGTAGACAAGTCTAGAGAAACCGTGAGGGGGGGCGGGGCGCCAGGCCTTGGTGGGGGGAAGGGGAGCGTTATATCGAGGCACGAGAGGGCGCCGCGCCTAGGCTCCGCCCCTCGCGGATTGGAGGGGGGAGCTGGGGCGGGCCCAGCGCCGCAGGGGCTTGCTGGCCAAGCTGAGGGACCTGGGAGAGCAGGGGGTTTAGTTGGGATCTGCAAGGTTTAGAGGTGGGGTTTCTACCCAGACTCTTGCCTAGTGCCTTGACTCAGCTTTTATTGCTTTCACAGATCCACCTCCGACCCTTAAGCCAGAGACTCAGGTGAGGTTCTCCTTACCTTTGCAGCCTAGTATTACTGTCCAACCCTCTTCTCCCCAGCCTCTGGCTCTCTCTCCTACCTTTCCAGGTTCCTTATTCCTGGGACTGTTCCTTTGGAAATGACTCCGTTAAACTCCATGTGATAAAAGTGTCCTTCTTTTCAGCCACCAGAGAAACGGCGGAGAACAATTGAAGATTTCAACAAATTCTGCAGTTTTGTATTGGCCTATGCAGGTTACATTCCCCCTAGCAAAGAGGTAGGAACAGGAGGTCAATTGACTGGAGGGTGGTTGCCTAGGATTATAGAGGGTCCATTGAGCAAATGGAACTGTATTTATTTATAGAAGCCTACCAAAAATTACATGTAAGACCAGGGTGATTAGAAACTCTAGTAGGAACACCAGTATTTGGGGTGGGTGTGGTATTAATAGAGATAGGTGGTTGAGCAGCAGTCAATCATTTTGAGCAGCTGTTAATGGAAGGTGCTTTGGATAAACTATGGGAAGCTGGAAGAGATAACCAATGAGGCTGTAGAACAGGGGTGTCAAACTCATTTTCACCAGAGGCCACATCAGCCTCACAGTTGCCTTCAAAGGGTCGAATGTAATTTTAGGACTGTATAAATGTAACTACTCCTTAATAGTTAAGCTAGAGCTCCATGCTGCCGCAGGTAGAAACAAGGTACTGGGCAGGATAAAACAAGGTGGCGGGCCTTATGTTTGCCACCTGTGCTGTAGAGAAACAGCTTTTGTTAGGGAAATACAGTGTTGCAAAGGCAGTGGGAATTGGGGAGATGGCTAGAACTTAAAGGAAGATGTAACATGGGAGGTGCTTAAGAGGAGATGCTAGTAGGAGTTGGGATGGGATAAATTTTTAAAGATTTTAATTTATTTTTAGAGAGAGAGGGAAACATCAATGTGTGGTTGCTTCTCACACACCCTCTATTGGGGACCTGGCCCACAACCCAGGCATGTGCCCTGACATAGAATTGAACCAGTGACCCTTTGGTTTATAGGCCAGCACTCAATCCACTGAGCCACACCAGCCAGGGAGTCTCTAGTTTTTAAGCTGGGTTTGTAGAGGAACTGAGTGAAATGACACTAGGCCCCCTTTTGACCCTGGTCTTGTCTCCCCTTTAAGGAAAGTGACTGGCCAGCCTCTGGCTCCAGCTCTCCATTGCGAGGTGAGAGTGCAGCAGACAGTGATGGCTGGGACTCGGCCCCCTCAGATCTCCGAACTATCCAGACCTTTGTTAAGAAAGCAAAGTCATCCAAGAGACGGGCTGCTCAAGCAGGTCCCACCCAGGCAGGACCCCCAAGGTCCACTTTCTCTCGTCTGCAGGCCCCTGACAGTGCCACCCTGCTTGAGAAGATGAAGCTCAAGGACTCTCTTTTTGATCTAGATGGGCCCAAAATGGCATCTCCACTGTCCCCCTCATCCCTCACACATGCCTCCCGGCCCCCAGCTGCTCTTACCCCAGTGCCCCTTTCCCAGGGGGATCTTTCCCAGCCTCCTCGAAAGAAGGACCGAAAGAACCGAAAATTGGGGCCAGGAGCAGGGGCTGGCTTTGGGGTGCTTCGGAGGCCTCGTCCAACCCCTGGGGATGGGGAAAAGAGGTCTCGAATCAAGAAGAGCAAGAAGCGGAAGTTGAAAAAGGCAGAACGAGGGGATAGACTCCCACCTCCTGGGCCTCCCCGGGCACCTCCCAGTGATACAGACTCTGAAGAGGAGGAGGAGGAAGAAGAGGAGGAGGAGGAGGAGGAAGAGATGGTATCAATGGTAGGGGGTGATGCCCCAGCCTCTGTGCTGTCAGCACCCCCTGAGGCTCCTAGACCCCCTGCCACAGTGCACCCTGAAGGAGCCCCTCCCACTGACAGTGAAAGCAAGGAGGTGGGCAGCACTGAAACAAGCCAAGATGGAGATGCCAGCTCCAGTGAAGGCGAGATGCGGGTCATGGATGAGGACATCATGGTAGAATCAGGTGAGAGGTTTGGGGCTGCCCAGGGACAGCCGGGATGATGGGTATGGAGTTGTGGGTGCAACAGCTCAGATACAACACCAAACCAATTTTTTCCGCAGGTGATGACTCATGGGACCTGATCACGTGTTACTGCCGAAAGCCCTTTGCCGGGAGGCCCATGATTGAGTGTAGCCTCTGTGGAACATGGATCCACCTCTCCTGTGCTAAGATTAAGAAGACGAATGTCCCCGACTTCTTTTACTGCCAGAAGTGCAAGGAACTGCGGCCAGAGGCCCG